AGGTGGGGCTGGTAGGTCATGGTCACTATGTCCTCCTGAGGACAGTCACAGACACCCCCAGACCGCAGTCACAGGTGGGCCTTACTGGATGCCATCACAGGCTATGGCCTGCCTCCACGCTGGCTGAGAGATCAGGAGGCCAGGAGGCCCTATCCTGCCTCGGCAGTGATTGATCAGGGCTCCTGAGAAATGGTTATCACTGACCAGATCGCTCATGGGAACAGCTACTGAACAGCAGAATTTCCTTTCCTTATGGGCTGCTTCTTTCTGCAAGCGCCTTGCCAAACATATCCATATCTTTGGCTCTTTGTACTTCGCCTCACCGCCCCCTGGATGATTTTCCCCTTGTCACGTAAACTCCAAGGATTCTTCGAGACTTTGTACAGCCCCCGGGCCAGCACCAGCATAGCTGGTGATTAACAAAACCTCCCTACATTTCCTTAGCTCTCTACAATATTCAAAGCAGCAACACTTTCAAACCCTTATGTAGATGTGATTCTCACAGTAACACTGTGAGGGGGACACAGCCAGTGTCGCCGTGCCCATTTTACAGATGAGGAAGTTGAGGCTCGTTAAAGTTAAGGAATTTGTCCAAAGTCAAGTGGATGGAATTGGGACTTAAACGCTACTGTCCACCTGTATCAGTCAGGGTTCTCCAGAGAAACAGAACCAGGAGGAGATACATATATCTGTATGTATATATACACATACATACATATATGGATCTGCGTGGTACCCCTGGGAATGGGGGGGGGCATGAGTCAGCCTGGTCTTCCTTATTGTCTCCCAGTGACACTTTTGCACATTCTGTATACGAGTGTCTCTCTGACACTGTGAAAAGGACAGCGAGCTTGTCCAGGGCCGTAGCTCACTCTCGGTGGCTGCCCACCTCACGCAGTTTTTTCCCCTAAGAGAGATGGGACATTTTCTGGAATGCAGCATAAGTGTGTCTGTTTGAATTGATTACAACATTGCTAAATAGTTGGTGTGAGCTCCTCACAAATGCCATTGCTAGTCCTGACGTTTCTGTGTGTCTCTGTGGCCAAGTCACCAAAACAGGAATTTGGTAGAACTAGGAACTGTGGTTGGAGTCCCTGGTGCAAACAGTTAACGCTTGGCTACTAACCAGAAGGTTGGAGGTTCGAACCTACCAGGAGGGTCCTCGGAAGAAAGGCCTGGTGATCTATTTCTGAAAAAATCAGCCACTGAATACCCAATGGAAAACACTTCTACTCTGGTACACGTGCAGTTGCCATGAGTCAGAGTTGACTCCATGGCAACTGGTATTTTTAGAAACTGTGGTTAGGGTCGGAGTGTTTAAAAGTGGTGACCCTTTTGCAGGAGTGGAAGAAAAGTCCAGAACGAACACGGACTCCCGTAGCCCAGGAGGACTCTGGGCATGCTCATCTGAGCAGCTGTCTGATGGCTGCACTCTGATCCCCATCAGTAACTCCTCATCAGAGCGCTCACCTCACCGCCGTCCCTCCAGCCTCCACTGACTCTGCCCGGCAGCTTACTGTTTGACATCCCACTTGTTTTGTGAAGGAGCCTGCCATGTGGCATTAAGCCGTGGCGGATCAGCCCCTCAGAACGAGCGCCATACCCCCGGATAGAATTACATGTGACAGGAGAGATGAATTCATCAAAATCAGCAGCCCCTAATGAACACAATCGCCCGTGCTAATGGGAACCGTAAGGACTGAGGCATGGATTAAAGCGGCTGAGGCTTTCAAATGCAGATGCCCCTAATAAATCACATGTTGTGACTCATCGACTTTCTCCTTGGATCCACTTCTAATCAAGAGCAGGATGAGCTGCTCCCTTCTGAAAGCGGGCATGAGTGGGAGCTGGGCTGCCATCTTTGTTCAGCCCAGGTCAGCGTCAAATGGCTCCTGATTGCTGTCTGATGTGCAGCTCCACAATCAATCCCAGCTGCTGGGCCAGGGCTGGGAGCCCCAAGGCACCTGAGCCGCAGGTCTGCGCCATCTCTCGTACCCCCATTAAAATCTGGGCCCCTACCACGTGGGAGGGTTTGGGGGAAATGAGACTTTATTAAAGCCAGGGGACCTCCCTAGCTGAGCAGACCATCTCATAAGAGCCGTAATGGTTTCTTATCTCACATGAAATTTTCCCATTTCCCCAGATTCCTCCCTTTGGTTGCCACTGGATCACCCGCCTACACCCCTCCATTTTCACGAGTGCCTCATTATTTAAAGCCACTGATAAAAAGCTAGAAGTGGTTAGTAGCCATGCCATCAACAGCTGTCCCCCACCTAGTGAAGGCCCAGGGGTTTTGTGGGTATGTTTTAAAGGTTGAACACAATGACTTCAAAACAAACAAACAAACAAACTCCTTGCTGTCAAGTTGATTCTGACTCATGGAGAACCAATGTGTTACAGACTAGAACTGCTCCATAGGTTTTTTTGGCTGCAATCTTATAGAAGCAGATTGCCAGGCCTTTCTTTCACGGAATCACTGGGTAGGTAGTCGTTGAGAAGAAACCATTGGTACCACCCAAGGACATGCTCTAGGCACCTGTCTATAAGCTGCTGTAGACTGGCCTAACCAGAGAGTCCTGGCATGCAGGGAACTGAGGCCTGGAAGGCTTTTCTT